ATCTTGTATTATTTAAATTGGTTGATTGATATAATATGTCGCCAAAGTGACCTCTTTTGTATTAATTAATTAATTTAAAATACAAAGATAACAGTTGCGTGTGTTTTGATTTTATGCCGGTAATGATCGGCCCAAAGGAAGTTCATTATTTGGCTGAAATCAAAATATATATGTGGTAATAAATGTGTGGCAGTTATTAGGTTTTTCTATGTGGATAGTAAGTCGGTCCAAAGAAAGGCTTATTATTTGACAGGAATTAATTGTCAATATTTGATTACTACGCCAAGAGTACTACTTGCAAATTGACGTTTCTGTCCAAAGACTAAATCCAATGTTGCACTAGGTATCTTGTAAATGGGAATGCCAATTTGACTTTTAATCATGTTATATTAAGTTTTAAAGGTGAGTTGTATTCGGTTATATTTCAGTATAGTTCATTCCGCTACTACATTTTTCTGCCACTATTAACTCCATTAGGACACTTCAATGTGTAAACTAGAAGGAAACATTAAGGAAAATTAAGGAGCACTATATGAATAATGCAAAATTGTTCCCACAATAAAGTATTTTGTCAAAAATAATAAGACGGGAACGAGTATTCTTTCAAAAGATCTTGTTTCCAGAAGGTATAAGGAAAGCGTGAACATAAGAAAATGGATTATTTAAAAGTATCATCTTGAATTAAAATTTAAGGTACTAAAGTTAATAGTTGATCACTTTCATACACAATGGAATTCGGTTAAGAACAGTTTTACTGTTATTAAGTACATGTGACCCTTAATGAGTTCATTTTATATTGTGTACAAGAAGGGAGATTAAAGCAATAGATGAATATACATTTGAAAAATAAAGAATAAGTACTCAATTAAGTTTAAATCATTTAGAAAATAAAGAAATAGGAAAATAAGGATAATTAAGTTGCAGTATACAGTAACACAAAAGAAGCAGAATTAAAAAAAATTAAATTTGGTTGCTAATTTTGTGATAGTACTTTTCTGTTTGACTTTAAGAATGTTTGTTTTAAGGTTCATTTGATTTTGGTACCTGTAGACATACTTAGTGGGTGGACTTTGGTAACACTGCTCACACAAGTGTATCTATGCAAGGTTGTTTGAATCACGAAAAGCCAATTGATGTTGAAAGACACATCTATATGGAGCATTGGTGAGTCAAGTACGGTTGAGGCAATAAATTTTTAGTTTATCATTAAAGATTGAATTTTAATTTGGACTTGAGAGACTTTTATTATTCCATCTTTTTAGGTGGAACTCAATTTATGTTTCCACATTGAACAAAATCTGGTTACTTTGTTCTTTTGGTAACAGTCTGTTAGTCTCTTTCAAAATTCAAAGAAAGTCAATTTAGTTCTTTATTAAGTCATGGTAATATTTTATTTACTAATGATCATTGCTTCAATTAACCAAACATTGCATGATAATTTATGTGGTACCAAAAGAAAATTTGGTAATGGGAATTTCGTATCAGTTTGGTAAAACTGTTTAAGGCACTTGCTTTAGACAAATAATAAAATTAGCCGAAATTTTTAAATCACTTGACTTATCATATTCTAAACAAATGTGTTAAGTGTACTAAGAAAAAAAAGAAACAAACAAACAAAATAAGATTGGATGGCATAAGATTTTTCAGATGTTGTTAGAACTAATACATACGGATATATGTAAACCGTTGTTTATGATTTTCTTTTAGAATGGTCATGCATATTATATTATGTTCACAAACAACTTCACAGGGTTACCTCGTTAGCATTAATGAAAAGTACTAAGACTAGATTTGTTCAAAGTTTTAAGACTAAATTAATTTTGCGAACGAATTAAGTATTAGGTGAATTATGTCTAGGGTCATTGGTCAAATTTCTTAGTGAATATGGTATCGTCATATAGTAACACTATGCCGGAAAGTACAACTATTAATAGTGTTATTATATGACGAATTTAGAAACTAAAGAATCAACTAAGTAGTATGACAAATTATACCACTTAGTTAAACTCACTAAGAGAAAAAAGACATAAAAGAATACAACTTATAGATATGATAGTGTCCCAACTAAAGCAACAATCCTTGTGGATTATGGACATGCAAATAAACTAGCTACATGCATTTCCATATTTTGAGTTATCCGATTAAGGCAAGGCCGCATAGGTCTATAGAAACGAAACTGGATTTGGTTTGTTGCTGTTTTGTTGGACACATTAAAGTAAATCCTTCTTTTAGACGGGAAATATCTAGTTTCTTGAGAATATTGAGTTTGGAGGGAAAGATAAGGTTAATGACATTGTCTTTAAATGGAATATTAGTCATATGGTAATTTAAGATAGTGTTAAAACTTTCCCTCATCAAGACAATTTTAAAGGAAAAACTCAACAATCTCAAGTACATATGCCATTAAGGGAATCCAAAGGAAAGAGGAGAAATACAGTTACGATTAATGCCATAAAATAAATAAATACAATAATTGATAAAAATAACATTTAGGTTATTTTCTCATTACCCAAAGGTGATGTAGAAAGATATAAGAGTTATTTTCTCAATAAAGAATTTAGTCATAAAGATGACATTATCATATAGAGAGTTTCTCTTTAATATTATTGGAAGTCCAAATTTTAAGACATAGTCTATAATGGCATATATAGTACATTTTATATTTAGCCTTCATTGGATAGGTATTAAGAGAATGTTTCTTAATGGCGACATTTTGAGACATTCTATTGGTGCAACCAGAAAACTTTGTTTGATGATTTGCAAATTAAAGAATTCTACCTATGAGCTTAAATAAGTTTCCTGTTAGTAATTCAAGTTTCATTAAGTTTTCATCTCATTTAGTTTTGAAGTGAATCTTGTGATGATTATACACATCACAGTTTCAGTGGGAGTTTAAGGCAGTAATTAAAAAAAATTATATTTAGATATTTAGTAGCAGCTATAAGGTTACGCGGAATCATTAAAGATTACACGCTCACATATCGAAGTTCGGTCCAGTTAGAGATCATTCAGTATCCCGACTTCGATTTTGTTAAGTTGTCTATATTGTCACAAGGCTACAAATGTAGTATAGTCTTAAAAGACTACTTAAGTTATAATGTGACAATAATGCAACAATTTAAGATACTCTAATAACAATGAACATTAAGTTCTTAATTGTTAGATTTAAGTTCAGAATGAACAAATTTTTAAGGAGCACATTCGGACAAACTCTAATATCACAGATTACTTCAGCTAAGGTATTCGATGAATATCTTGCTTAAATGAGTGTTGTGTAATATGATGATATGACGGTTTAGTGGGAGTTTGTAATTTTGATTTTACTAAGGGTTCATACGTTTATGAACATTCAGATATTAATTAATAGTGCAGTACAAAGTCTAAAGTATCAAGTAAAGTTTAAGGTATAAGGTTAAGTTTTTTTCAGTGTGCTTACATTCTGAAACTTTGGTTGATCTCACTGAAGTATAAAGAGGACCAGTTGGAAATAGACATGTTAAAGATCACATTACATGAAATTTCCATGCTACACATCCACACTTGATCCATGTCATTTAGTTATATTAATGTATGTGACCACTGATGAGTTTAGTTGTCGTTCGTACAACGACTGCCCCTTTGATCCTATGCTTACATAATTAATGGACGGGATTGTTTAAGTCACTTTATGATAGCAAATTTTGCGCGCTCTTAAGTTTTCGGTATAATATACAATTATAAGGTATATATATGGTGCATAGTCCAAGTGGGAGATTGTAAGATCTATGTGGACTTTATACACTAATATATATAATTGTATGTTATAAGTTATCATAAAATACTAGCCCACATAAAGTGATCTAATTAAATCAACTAAAGTTTGGGCTAATTATAATAATTAAGTTATAAGGTGTGGCCCAGTATTGTGTAGAAACCCTAAGGCCCAGTTTCCTGTTCTGTGATGGGTGGAACCGGAAACCCTGTTATATATTGGTTGTGGTCCCCAGATGAGCCGTCATACCAAATCTCGACTCCCCATTTGTCAGAGGTTCCTGCAAGGGCTTGACGGAATCATCTGGAAGACCAAACCGGATCGATGTTCTTGCCATTTCGGATTAAGGTGCGCTTTCACTTTCGTATAATTCTGATAATCTGATATGAAGGCCTCTATGGTATATGGATTTAATCTAACAGATACGTTTTCTCGAACACTTCGAGTAATAATGTATTACTCGAGGGATGCTTGTCCCTTCGAGGAGATGTATCTATCGAAATTTCAATTCTCGAAATTACCCCTTGCTTCGAAGGACTTGAGAGTTTATCTGTAAAATTAGAAAAGTATTAGGGTTATTCAACTATAAGATAAAAATTGACCCTTGTCGGCTTATTCGTCTTGTTGTTTAGGTCGGCATGGAAGTCGACAGTATCTTCGTCGGCCTCGTCATCGACTGGAAGGCATCGACAGGGAAGTCGACGAAACTGTTGTCAACCTGATCGTCGATTGGAGGAGGTTGACGTAGAAGTCGACGGTTGGTAGCTTTACAAAAATTTCCTAATTCTTGATTTTTGCTTTCAGATCCGAATTGAGACATCATGAAGAACCAACAAATTCCGGAAAACTACATTGTAAAACTAACAATATCATCATATGAAATGAACTACGATGCAAAAGATAAAGGGTAGAGGTTGACATGTTGATCAAATTCATCTTTAACTTAATCAAATGTTGTTGTTCAATAAAAAAAATTATGTTATCTTGGAGATATTTTTAATAGCAAGGCAACTTGTTTTATATAACACATTTTGTTCCCCTTTTTTTTTAGGAAGCAAAACGTCTAAAAAGCCAATCAAGTTACCAAAGTATGATATTCCTACAATATTATACCTAAATTATTGATAATTTTTATTAGCTAATTTTTCAACATGGCGGAATTTTCAATTTAAGTTGAGATAAAAATAAGTTTTAAACAGAACCATTCAAATTTCAGTCGTTAGATTTCGATAACTAGATTTAGATAATCCCTTAAACTCGAAACTTTTCTAAACTGTTTGCCCTTATTTATAACCCTTTAAATTTGCAACATTTATAGTGAAACACGAGAGTTGACTTCATTACCCGGTTATCCTTCCCAACTTTTCTATTCCCTCCCTCACGCGCTCAGGTTTGCATCTGGGCTTCGAACTTCATCATCCTCTCTGTCTCTCTTCCATTACTTTTCCCTCATTTCCATTTCCCCATTCCCCAAACCTTACTCATTTCTCTTCTTTCGTCTCGTCGGTGCTTTCTTCCTCATCCTTTTTCCTCCGGCCAACTTCCGCCGCCGGAACCTTCCACTGTCCGTCGGAATCCCTACCCACCAAAAAGTTTTAGCCATGAAAGTTGCAGAAAACGAGGCGGATGGTCTCACGAACGCCATTAACCAGCTTTTCACAACTCTTTCCGACTCAGTCCCACAAACTCAGTGCTTTAAGAGCAAATGGTCTCTGGTGGCCTCAAAGCTTTCCAATCTACAGACTCTTGTTTCCGACCTGTCTACTTCGTGCTCCGTCCCCACCACCGCCTCCGCCGCCGCCAGCGGTTCGCTTTCATCCGATCTTCTTCAATCACTTCACGTGACGCTCTCCGACGCTTCCTCCTTGTGCGCTTTGTGTCACGCGCCGACTCCTCCTCACGGTAAGTTAAAGACCCAGAACGAAATTGACTCCATCACCGCCAAGCTCGACCACCACATTAAGGACCTCGATGTTCTCATTAAGAGCGGCGTCCTCCTTAATCATGGCGGCGGAGGAGCCGCGGCGGCGGCGGCACCCGCCAGCCGAGAATCTGTCCGGGCTGAATTCCGCAACCTGATAACTCGCCTCCAAATTGGGTCCTCCGAATCGAAGAACGCAACCTTGGATTCCGTCCTGAGCCTTCTGAACGAAGATGATAAGAACGTCCTCATCGCGGTGGCGCAGGGGATCGTTCCGGTGCTTGTCCGGGTACTGGATTCCAGCGCCCATCATTTGGAAATGAAGGAGAAAATCGTCGCTGCCATTGCTAAAATCTCAACCGCCGATTCCGTCAAGCACGTTCTGATCGCCGAAGGTTTGGGCATACTGAATAATCTCCTCCGGGTGTTGGAATCCGGCAGCGTATTCGCTAAGGAAAGATGCTGTGTTGTTCTGCAAGTATTGAGCCAGTCAAAGGAAAACGCCAGGGCAATCGGGTCAAGAGGCGGGATTTCATCCCTGTTAGAGATTTGCAACTCCGGCGCACCCAATTCGCAAGCCATGGCCGGCGGCGTTCTCCGGTCGTTATCTGTTTTCCCGGAAATTAAAGAGTATTTCGCGGAGGAAAACGCAGTTATCATCTTATTGGGCGTTTTGAATTCCGGCACTACTCTGGCGCAGGAAAATGCAATTGGCTGTTTGAACAATTTGGCAAACAACGATCAAAACACGAAGTTATTAATCGCAAGGGAAGGCGTGATTGAGAGCTTGAAAAACTACTGGGATTCTGTCAATTCAGTCCAGAGTCTTGAGGTCGCCATTGTTATGGTACAGATTCTATCCTCTTGTCCATTAATCGTTGAAATTATAGTAGAAAACGGGTTCTTAAATCGGGTCACTGGGGTGTTGAATTGCGGAGTATTGGGCGTTCGTGTCGCCGCGGCTAAAGCCATTTACGAAATGGCTTACAACACGAGAACCCGGAAAGAATTAGGCGAATTGGGATGCATTTCGTCGCTGTCGAGAATGCTGGACGGCAAGGCCGTGGAAGAGAAAGAAGCGGCGGCGAAGGCGCTGTCGAATCTGTTGAATTACGTCGGAAACAGGAGGATATTCAGGAAGGAAGAGAAGGGGATCATCAGCGCCGTCCAGCTGTTGGATCCGTTGGTACAGAATCTGGATAAGAAGTACCCCGTTTTGGTGTTGAGTTCATTAGTCCATTCCAAGAAATGCAGGAAGCAAATGGTGGGTGCTGGGGCTTGTTCCCATTTGCAGAAACTGGTGGAATTGAACAACGACGTTGACGGTGCTAAGAAGCTTTTTGACAGCTTAGATCGTGGAAAGTTGTGGGGAGTCTTTGACAGACATTAGTGGCAGGTTCTGAATGTGGAATCATCATCATGTTCATCTTGTATGTACTACTAATAATAATTTACTCTGCTTTTCTTCCTTTTTTTTTTTTTTTCCTTGTAAGTAATTGATTCTGATCCTTTTTTTCCTTTTAAGTTTCTGGCTTTGTTTTGTGTAAATTGTGCTTAGAATTTTGAGGTAGATGAAAGAGAAATGTCATTACTAGCAAGTTTTAGTTGATGATGGAGAGGTGTGATGAGGACAACATCTTTGGTTGGTGAGCTAACTTAGACTAAAGGGTTTCATAGATTTATGTTTTTTTGTATACCAAATCCCCATAATAAATTAATAAATGTACTACTTAATAAAGATGTATGTGCTTCTTTTTCTTCCATTCCATTTGCTCGTTCGTTTTAGTGTATTTTTGTGTGCTTAAACGTTCTTTGTTACGCTCTCTGATTTTCCAATCGTCTTACGAAGTTTAAAGTTATAATCCATGACTTATGACCAATACTTGTTGGAACAGAGCGGGTAAAAGTTTGTTCCACTAATTAGAGTCTTGAATTTTAACTTTTGGAGATGGATTTGCAATGTTGGTACCCTAGGGAAATTTTTAGACCTTGAAGTGAGTTTCATCGGATCAGATAAGAATTAGTTTAGTCGTAATATGTTTTTGTTTAAAGATGAGTGAACTTTGTATCTGATTACGTGACATCCTTTAGTTACACAGAGGGTGATGGAAGTGCAATGGTTGGAGGTTCTACTATCGGAGTCAAATCATGATTGTAGCACGATACAACAGGAGCATCATATTCTCGTAATGTCTTGATCTAAACACTTAAGCATGAAACCTCTTTTCATTACAACCAAAAAGAGAGGTAGGGTGTAACCCTCTCTGATTAAGGGTTTATTTCATTTGTAAATTTGATACATAAGCAGCAATGGGTGAGATATGATTATTATTATTATTATTATTGACTTTGTCTAGGAGGCAATTATCGGGGCATCATTATTTTTATTAGGAAAAGTACCTTTCTAGGAAGTGAAAGTGATGCAAATCTTTGTTTTAGTTTCTACAGGGCCAGCTGCATGTGAGTGCGTTCTAAAAATCAAAGCGATCCACTTCTTTTGTTCTAAGTCTCTCAGAAAGTAACGCATGTGATGTGACTCCGCTTTATGGCTTTAGTTTTTTATACTTAGTGTCCTAATAATGTCTAATACTACTATCAAATTAATTTAAGTTAATGTTCTTCAAATCCTTTTTTTTTTCCTCCTCCTTTTCTTACCTTTTTTATTACGAAGTTATTTAGGTCTAAATCTAATATCAATAAACTCTCATAGCGTAAGCGTCCAACGATCTTATAGAACATAATACATTTTATTCAACTCCCATTAAAGTTACTATCATAGTCATCAAATCATCATCATGTTTTGTCCCTCAGCTTAAAGTTTCTTTTTTTTATTTTCTTTTTTTATTTTCTTTATCTATTTTGTGTTTTTTTTTTCTTTTTCGAAAATGTCGACATTGATACTATCGCTTGGAAGTTGCATGCGATGCAATGAATATTAGAAAATAAAAAATAAAAAAATTTGATGAATTCTCGTTGGTGCCCGTAAAAAAATCCTCATTAAGCTGGTCGAGTCATTTAAATTTAATGTAGTCAAATGGTTACCAAAGTCAAAATTCCATGCTGTCACAATTTTGTGCTTCAACGGCGGTCATCCCGTTGACTTGATTAACATGCATGTCATATTTAATGGTTAATCGTTCCATTGGTAAGCCCCTCAGTCTCATAAAACGATGCGCGGTATGGCAACTATCTTTCATATCTAGAAAATTAATTATTTTGTACATTTCGAAAAATAAATAAATCAAATAACGATAGAAGGAAAATGTAAGCAAAAATGTTGGTTATAACCAAAGTGGTTGTTGTGGTGGAGTGGAATGGACTCCTCCGTCTTTAACCATAGGTCGGGGGTTCGAACCGTCATGGGCATGGAGTAACTTTAAATACTTTGGTTAGCTGTCCTACCATTGAAGTGCCTATAATTCAACGAAGGGGATTGGTCACTGTTGCCGACAATGGACAGATGCAAATATGAAAAAAAAAATAAAATGCTTGTTATTCCAAGTGTTCAGATATTGAGCATATTGAACATTCAAGTCCAACCATAACGATTTTTGGAGCAAAATGCTCATTCGTCAAAAGAATTTTTAAAGCCTTATTATTATTTCTTTTTTAATATAACCACTATATTTTATGACCCCACTCAAATTCAGAGATTACTTAGTTATCTGGAAATAGATGATACCAAACGTATTACACAAAAATTGTGAACGTAGGCCAATTGCATTAAACACAGAGTTGCCAAAATGTACTATATTTCTCTGCCATTTGGGTAAATAATTCATCGCCAGAGTCCATTTGATTTTGTGTGTACAAATTCAGAAACACTGCATTTCAAATCAGCAGCAATCAAGTCAATCAAATCACATTTCGGATCTTTACATATGCTTCACTTGATTTAGGTAATTGATCAAAATGAAATTATAGATTGGCAAAATATTAATAAATGGTTGGCATTATTGGTAGGGATTTTCTCTATTTCATGTGCATTTGTCCGGTTGTTTGATCAACTGACTGCTTAAATCGTGTGCTGGTCGGTACCATAACATATCAACATTTTTTTTCCCCGTCTATTATTAATTCCTTCAAATAATTGCACTACCCCTGTCTTTTACTGAAATTCAGTTGTACTAGTGCTTCTATTATATACTCCCTAGCTCCCTCCACAAAAATATTTCATAATCAAAATTTTTATTTTTAATAGAAATTAATCTTTTGAAATTTGGATGAAGATACTTCATCTAAATCTAATTTATTAATTATACTTTTTCGAAGTATTGACAAAATATGTAATCTTGTTCGACAGGAAAAATCCAATTCTTTTGTACTCCGGTTGTCAAAACATTTTCTGCCATACAGTTGAAAGCCGATACCATCTTCAATTTTCCATTTCGTGTCCATTTTCACGTCGGAAAATATGTTTAATCAGATTTGGGAAAGCGATATGTTCTCATGAAAGGAAATTTTATTGCTTGTGGACATACAAATAAAGATTTCCCCAGAGAAAAAAGTAATTTTATGGGTTCTAGCAATTAAGCCCATGAATGTCAACACGACTCTTTAGTTTAGTGACTTTGGGCTTATTTTTCAACTATTGTACTTTCTTTAAGATAAATTTATCTTCCATTTATACGCCCAAAACCTTTTTTTTTTTGGAACAACGAAGGAAGTAAAATATACAAAATCTTTTAACATAATAATAATAATAATAATAATAATAATAATAATAATAATAATAATAACAATAATAATGCCCGGGCCACTTTTCGCAATTTATTTCTTTGACAAAAATAACCATAAAAAGAATGTATGATATCAAGTTCAAAGTCTAGAACACCCGACCTACTAATATATACACAATATGTTCATTTCACCGTTTGCAAGATAAGGAGGAATTAGTAAATATTATATTTTTTGAGGCTATAAGTTTAAAAAATCCATTAGTTATAGGATTACCCTTCTCCAAAATTTGTTAAAAGAAAATTGTGGTAAACTAAGGTATTAAGATGTGGATCTTACTTATGCAATTGAGTTCTAGAATCCCCAAACTCACATTTTGCCAGGTAAGATGATGAGTCCCCTAGTGCCACTTTTGGCGAGTGCTTCTATTGAAGCCTGAAGGTGGACTCTTCATCATCTTCCTGATCCCAAACTGCTCAATTTTGAATCTCTTAATGGTTGCTGGCCGTTGAAAAATGAAGGGGATGAAGCAACCTGAAAACTAGAGCCGATGTGCATATTCCTTTGACGAGTCCATATCCATCACCGAGACTGAACCGGTCCATTAACTGGGAAAGGAGTCCAACCGACTCTCTTAGGGCGATTTAGGTTATATAAACCTAATAGGATTCGGAGACTTCCTGGGGATTCTCATGCCTATAAATAGGGTTGATCACATCTCAGTACAGGTACGCAAATATACCTCCATAAACTATACGCATAATTGTTCCGATAACCCTTTATTGACTTAAGCATTGGAGTGTCTACCCTCGGGAGATCTCCAAGGCTTTGTTTTGCAGGAAACCCTAGCCGGAGTTCCATTGTTGGACCGGCGGCGCAAGTCCAAGCCTCGTCAAGTGGCACGCCCAGTGAGACCCGAAGACTAGGGTTTGTGTCACAGAAACCTTCCCAGATTTCCTTAACATCTTTCAGTGAGATCTAGAGTTACAGGAACAATCAGCACTATGATTAGGGTGGAAGAAGACACCAGTAGCACAGTATCTTCCGGTAGACGGCATAGTCCGGGAGACAATACTACCCTGGCAGAATTCCAACGCAGACAAGAAAGAAAGAAAGCAGGAAAGAGCCATGGCAGAGAGCCTGGAAAAGAACCAACAAAAGAGCGCTTGGTCCTTGGTTCTTCCCAGTCTGATCCCAAGAAACAAGACAAGGCCAATTATCCACCCGAGAAGGAGGACGTACCTTCTCCTTGAAATACCCCTGCTACCAAGAAGCGTTTGGAGGATCAGAAACTAGCCAAGATCGAGGCTGAACTCAAGAAGCTAGGAGATGATAGCGATCAACAACAGAGGGTGCGAAGATTCGTCCTCGAAAAAACCAGGTGGCGCTGTCTCCTTGGAAAACCTGATCCCACAGAACAGGAGTTGGATGATTTGATCGACGAAAAAGAAGCTTGCAGAACCCTAGCCCTTCTCGAGAAGAAGCGGGGGAAGCGGAAGGTCCAAGAAGACGAAGATTACCAAGAAGTCGAGGGGTATGAAGACCTCCACGAAGATCGCTCAAACGCTACTCGGGACACCATATTCTGGAACGCTTTCAGAGAAAAATACCCAGTATTCGAAATGGCCCTCGAGGAATTTGACGCGACATACCGACATAAAAATACTCGAGAGTATCACAATTCTCTGATTATCGAGGTCATTGAAGAAGGAGAATGGAACCCTCCAAGGCGAACTAACGTGCACAACCGCCTGGGACCTAATTGGAACCGAAAAAATCCTCGAAGAGATGAATATAAACCTGGCCACGAACCGCATCAAGGTTACAACAACATCGAGGAGAATTATAACCGAGGATACCATCACCATCCTCGGTACTCACCTCCTAGACATCAACAATATAACAGGCACAGAGAAAATCCGCCATACTCCCAGGGAGATCAACAGGGAGTAAGAGATCAAAATGTCTTGATCCGAAAAGAAATAAAGAAGATCATCGGGATAGGGTTAAACCGAAGTCCCTTCATCCTCGACATCCGAGATGAACCTAAGCCCCGAGACTTTGACTTCCCTAAGGAATTTAAACCATATTCAAGAGACACCGATGTTTCTCAATGGCTACAAGGGTATGTCTAGGTTATGAGAATTCGAAATGCTACTATGAATTTCATGGCCAAAGCGCTACCTTCCTACTTGGCGGGGTCAGCATAGCGATGGTTCAGGCGATTGCAAGAAGGGAGTATAATTAGCTTCGAGGATCTATCTGTCAAATTAGCTACCCGATTCTTTCAGAGTAAACGGATATCACGAATGTCCATTGACCTCTCTTCAATCAGACAAGGGCAACATGAGAGTCTCATCGATTTCCATAGGCGGTTCATACAGGAAACCTTGCAAGTCGACAACATTGATGATCGAGATGTTCGCAACGAATTCATTCAAGGCCTCAACCCCTTTGGAAAATCCTCAATGTTGCGAGTCAAGCTCTCGACTAAGCCCCCCAAGAATGCTCAGGAGATGTGGGCCATTGTCGAGAACCACATACAATGAGAACACACATTGAATCTTTTGCGTCGGTAGGACTAAGAGACAAATCAAAAGTTCCTATGGAGAACAAACCGGCGCTACCCAAGATGGAAAGGCAATTAACACCTCTAACCAAGCCGTGACGGGAAATCCTCCA